AAGGGATTAATAAAATCCAGCTTGTATCCATTAAGTCATTCACTGATTTATCAAGTTTGACTAATAGGAACAGACGTCATAAAAACATCTCAGCATGGCCATGCAATTTCCTCAATCATAACTTATCAGTGGGCCCCATAAGACATTAATCTCTTTTAAAAAGAGTAGTGACAAATCCTATGTACGTAATATACGTTTCTGAATACGCGCTGCGGCATACCCAAAACAAAGCCTGTATACCATCCTTATTTCATATGGCTTAGGACAATGCATCAAAGTATGCGGGTTCACATATGCAGAAAACATAATACTTCAAGTCGAAGGATAGTTACACCCGTGATCGCGCTAAAGATGCTTAGAGCATGAACTAAGAGTTCAAGCAACATCTTTAGGATGGGTCAGTACGGCATCCTATTATCTCCAGATAATATCTGCCCATGTGCGGATGCGAACACACTATCATTGACTATGAGACTAAGTCAAACATCCAACACACACTAGTCTCACATTCATTAACGATATCCTACTCTCGTTAATACTCGACTATGGACATTTAGATAAATATTTATTTCAAGATGTTAGTCTCATCAGCAAACAAACACTATCTGATAAACATCTTTAAATATAAATCTAGGAATAAAATATTTGTTTACATTAGCATGAGATGTGTAAACATATTATATCTTCCAATACATGATAGGATAACGATGAACAGTTGGCCATCAGGGCACAACTCCAACATAGTTAAGACTAACCCGGGGCGAGTCAGTACCCTAGTTACGGGTTTCGCGCCTAACCAACGTAAACCGGGCGTCTCACTTGGGTTAGTCCGTTACCGATCTAAATTGGGTTTGACGAGTGACGGGGCGTCGGGGTGGCACAAACTTAAAATTATGAAGGATTTATTACGCAGTCTTGCCTATGACATACACCGCGCGCATGCACTAGCGAAAATCACATACATGCAAACATTCAATCATACATCACATGCATAATAAGTAAACGTGAAATGATTGTGACTCCTAAAGAAAAACAAACGGCAGCGCCTTGATCAAGAGATCTCTATCTCCAGCCCATCACGTCTTCCTTAGGATTCTCTATCACGAACGGACTTCGTCTTCTTATCTTCTTATAATTTTCGAGAGAAAGAATATTTGAGGTAAAGAAGAGAATAACATCTAGAGTATAGAGATGAGGCACGACACGCAAGCCGTATTTAAAATTACAACAAATATAACTAAGCCACAATCATCCACCATGCAATAATACATACGAGCATAACATGCATCACATCATACATATTAAAGCATACACCAGGCGAACCGCGCTCGCCCCAGACCTAGGTTATTCTATTCTACGGAATAAACTATCAACAATAAATTAATTAAACTAGCAAGTAATTTAATTAAAAATCATAAAATACTTTAATTTTCCAGAATGTTAGAAATTTGATTTTCTAATTTCCAGAAAATAAAATATTTTATATTTATCGTATATATGTATTTACATTCGAAAAAGGGATTTTATTTCGAAATAAATACATATATGTTTTCTAAATTAGAAAATAATTATTGGAGACTCCTAGTAAACATTCTTAAGCTGGAAATCCTAAAATTCCAGAATGAATAAAATTTAAAATTTTGAAAATCATTTTTCAAAGCTAGAAAACCGAAATTATATTGTGAAAATATATTTCGAAATTCCAAAAATATCAAAAAAAAAAAATTCAAGTAAAAAATAAGTTCCAGAACCAGAATATTATTTTTACAGAATTTAAAATATTAATTTTTCAGTTGTAAATAATTAAAAATCGGACTAGTGAATAGTATCGATCCAATTACTTTAAAAATACAAAATAAATACTTTTACGTGCTTAAAAATTATGAAAAATTTTATACAAGCTTAATATCTCTGGTCGCAACCTATTTTGAATTAAAATGAATTTTTTATTGTCAAAAATAATTTTCTTATTTTCTATTCAATAAACGAATTTAAAAATAGAAAAATAGGAAATTAATTCCAAAAATCAATTTTAAAATTTCTGAGTTATATTGACATGTCAAATACATAACAGAAAATATAAAATCTAATTTTCATAAATATTAAGTGTTTATGGCACAAATAACAAGTATTCTACACATAAACTACTTAATAAGAATAATATAAAAATACCCCAAACAGTAATTCCAAAAATTACTGAGAAAAATTATATTAGGTCCACTATCTAAATATGGACACCTAATTAAATTTTATAATGGGATAAATTTTTGTCTCCAAAATCTATTGACTAATCTACAAAAACAATAACGGTAAAAACTACTAAACTAGTAACTTCGTAAGCCGGCTCCGATACCACTGTAGGGAAACGAGGCTTGGATAACGCAGCAGAAAACAAAAATTTATAGTCCAAAACTCGATTCCACCCAAAAACAACTTACGTAAATTACTAGCTATAATAAGAAATTTACCTTAACGGTGAAAACGGAGAATGGAGGAACGGTCGGGGATGGTTTTGAGGAGATGAACGTAGCACCAAACGTATGAAGCCTCCAACGTATCCACACGAACTTGCTCCGGAGTCCAAGATTAAACTTGTGCTAGCAAGTTTAATATAGGATAGTAAAAACTATAATAATACTACTTTGGAAGTAATAAATATATAGTAAAATATTTATCTTATAAATATTTGTTTATAATATTTTGTGTATATTTCTAACACTTTAGAAAAATAACTTTGAACACAAAATAAAATTTTCTTCTCTCTAAAAATGGGATGGCCGAAAGTTGTGGTTTTTGTATTAAAAACCAAGACCTCATTTTATAATAAAGTATATTTAGGAAATTGCTAGGAAATTAATGTTAAGCATAAGTCCATGTATATGTCTTAACACCATGTGTAAATGTTTAATATCTTAGCTACCAAACAAAATAGAATCCCTACATCAAATAATAATCAAATATATCAATTTGACATTAAAAATGCTTTATGTATAAAATCAAAATGGTCTTGGATTTTTCCTCTTGAAATTTCGGTCATCCCATATTTGAAATATATCATATTTTATTTTTGACATCAATAATATATATATATATATATTTGAAATATATATATATATATATATATATATATATATATATATATATATATATGATAAAATTTGTTTTGTCAAAATATAATTATCATATAATTAAAATAACACAAGCAAAATATAATTTTAAAATACATATGTATTTTCGAAATACATATGTATATATAAAATTATCACAACTATATATTTAATATTACTCCCACTAGTGTAGTATACTGCTCCCTTACAAGTCCTAAGTGTGTGACCCTTTAGGTATCCATAACACTAGCAATGGTATTAATATAAATTAATACCATAGATAATAAGCGGTATCTAGCAACACATTATTATCCTCAGATTATGAAAAAGACGTTCATCTCATCAATACCTTCTACGACACAAGACGTTCTATAACTATTATCCTTCTGTCC